CGAACCTTCGCACGAGTCTGCTCATCAGGAGGAACAAACTCCATTATCATTGACCTCTGAAGAGCCTCAATTGAATCCGGTTTCTCATTTCTATCCTCTAGATTCAGCAACCATACGGCTCCGGAGTCAGTAAAGTAGCATTTAGCTAGTGCGAGCAGCCTTTCCTCCGTAATTCCTGAAAAAGCTCCTGCCTTCTTGACATTGTATATGAAACACTTCACTTTCGAAGACGTGCGGTTCTCGCCTTCTCCGTTATAAAAGGGGATAGATGGAGCTTTGATAGACGATGAAGCTCTATTCTGCTGCGAAGGTGTTGGTGGAGGCACATACGTGCCTTGGAGCTCAGAAATAGTCTGCATCTGGGCTTCAATCACTCTTTGCTGATCAGTGACCCTGCTTTCGAGCTCCTGGAGGCGTTCCATGAGAGCCTCCTGTGTCATTGTTCGTGTTCTTGGCATTCGTTTCAGCCTGAAAGTTACTCTTAGATGCTACCAAATGTAATAAAGTTGCTCCAATTAACCACTTTACTTCCGACAATAAAACAACACACACGATTCTACGATCGTCCTTGTCCCGTCTCGAGGTTCACCTCAATCTTATACTGTTCACAGCCTTTCGAGACATGTGAACCTTGACACGAAACTGAATACGAAAATATGCCGTGGCGACCGTTCCTGTATTTGTATTCAGAGTCCATCTCGTGACACCTCTAAGCGAGCGGTATCTTCCGAGAGCGGGGGCACCCACTCTCTTACACACTGCGTTGTACAAACGGGCGATACGATCACGCGACTAAGATTCAGTGTGAAGAGCGATGTGCAACAGAAGTTTACTCCGAAAGGTCGATGCCCCCTCCTTACTCAAGTCTCCTCATTTCTCTACACTAAATAGCTGAGCTACGGGGCGGCCGTAAAACCGAATCTACTCAATCTTCCTCCCTCCACGTCAGCCATCCTTGCCTACAGCCCGGCTGTGCTCAGGCACATTCTGTCCGGGCTGTTTCGCGCAGAAGGCGGCACGGCGATTCCCTGACAGCTCCCTTCATATTTCGATCCGCCAGGCATGCCTCTCGCTGATTCGGCGAGAGCACCCCACGTGTCCGAAAACAATAGAAAATAAACTCTCCGGCTCATCTGGGGGAGCACTGTTTTGCTGACACCCTGGATCCCAACGCTCGCTACCGTTATGATTGTTACACGATGGGAGATTGACAGCGGCGGCGCTCTCGTTGGTTGACGATAAACAGCTACCGATCTAAATCGATGACAACGACATGATGGCACCCAACCCGTGGGCGAGAAATCTTACTAAGTCCTGACATCATACAAGATCCATAGTCGACAGCCCATGCAAACGTTCGTCATTGTGGCAGTTCGCATTTCTCTTCCATTCTACAGTATCTTGACATGTTGAGGGCGTGTCTTAACAGGCTGGTTTTTGCTTTGCCTTGCCCGGTTTTGCCAGGAATACTTTTAAATTCTTAACAAATACCGTATGCTTCTTAAGCCGTTGCTTTTCTTAAACACATAAATTAAAACGTAGGAGCCACTCATAGCACGCCAAGTCACTTCTTTGGGCAAGGCAAAGCAAACCGCAGCAAAACGGGGCATGTTAAGACACGCCCTCAACATGTTAAGATACAGTAGAATGGTAGAGGC